TCATATACACTTATCCCTATATATATAATTTTATGTTCACTTTGTAGGTTTCTTCAATTATTTTAAAATCAAAGGTTTTAAGATTGGATGGTATAGAATTAAATTGTGATTTGTAATAAAAATTGAAAATAGTTTAAGTATATACCTGATAATTAGTTTAAATATGATTGATTATTGAATAATTTATGGAGAAATCTCCAAGAAATCTGGTCAATTGGTTCAACTTAAATCTAGACAATAACTATTTTTCATCAAAATAAGACAAGTTGGTGAGAGAAAAAGAGACTGAACAAAGTATTTAAAAAGGCAAACAATTAATAAATATTTGCAATATTTTGTTTTCATCAATGGCAATTTAATAGAATTGATTTTTGTAAATGTAATTCTTATTTATTTCAATATGAAACTCAAATATAATTTCAGAAGTCAAACTGCTTCTAATAATCAATTAACAATCAGACAATTACATTTTTACTTAAGGAACAAATTAAATTAAATTAATTGTTGTTTGTTTGTTTGTTAACTTTATTGATCTTAAAGTCTCTATATTTATACCAATTTAAATAATATAAATAATGATAAAAGTATTATTATCTTATTGGTATGCCAATACCTCAATTATTTTTTTAAAGAATATTGGTCAGATATCAGATTCTGATATTTATTGATACTCTGTTACCCAATTTGGCATCATTTGACCAGTAAAAGAGAACCAATAGATTATATATAAGCAAAGAAAGATGAGACCCTAACTTAGCACAAAAGAATTTTAAATCATGCACAAACATAACAGCTTGATAGCTTGATTGACATAGTGGTGCAGTCTTGGATTCCATGCAATTTTTTTATTGAATTTAAAAATCTTATAGATACATATGAACCACTGAATCAACAATTGTCTAATCAAAATTCACAACAAAATCCTAATCCAAATAGCCGTTCTTATTTTCTCTCCATGATTTCTTTACCTAATAACAATGATAATAGTAATCATCACACACAATCATCAACACAAGATGAACTTGAACGTTATTTACAACTACCAATTGTTACCAACGAAAACATTGATCCATTAAATTGGTGGAAAACACATCAAACAGAATTTCCAATGTTAGCAAGGATTGCCAAAGATTATCTCACTGTTCAGGCCACCTCTGTGCCTTGTGAACAATTATTTTCACTTGCTAATCACACTATTCGTAAAACAAGATCAAGGCTTCACCCACAAACTGCAAGAGCTGCTATATGTCTAAAAAGTTGGTTCTCCTATTTTTCAGAAATGGATAATGATAAAATTATTTTAGATGTTGTTGAATAAACATCTACACCTGATGAAAATATAGAAGGTGATGAAGAGTTAAATTGGATTAAAATTTTTAAAAGTTTTTCAATAAAAAAATTATGATTTGTTTGAATTAATAAAGACTGCAGTCTGGACTGAACCGTTGGTCTTTTTCGGACCATTTTCAAAACTGACAGTTTGGTCTGACTTTAAATAAGACTGACATGGACCAGACTGGACCAGACTGGACGGACCATTTAACATCCCTAGAAACTATGCCAAAATGGTGAAACCTCAAAATGCGGAACTCTGCTGAAACTCTAATAAACAATTAATGTGTAATCTGCCGAAACCCTGCTGATTGATTTCTGGAGGAGTTTCAGCAAGCAACCTTACATACAATATATAGATTATATATTTATTTATTTTCTTATGATTTATATTTGTATTTTAAGAACTGTATTTTTATTATTTAAAGATGTAAAATTCAAACAAATAAAGATAACTTTTATATAATTTTACAACAATAAAATTATCAGTTCATTAACAGTGTTAAATAAATATCTAAACATTTGTAAATAATTGTGATAATTATTTGAACATTTACAATATTATATTTAATAAGTAAAAGGAATAACTTGGTCAGTTATAAATTATAAACACATTTATTTGTGTATATTAATTATATGTATTTAATGGGTAAAAGAATTGATTGGTTATAAATTATAAACACATTTATGTATGTATATTATATTTAATGGGTAAAAGGAATAACATGGTTAGTTATAATTATAATAAACATTATTTTTATTAAATAACTATTACAGAAAAAATTAATGTGTACAGATATATATATTAAAATTATCTATAATATATGTTAAATTGCAAAAAATGTTATCTCATATTGTTTAGTCCCATGTAATTCGGAAGTTTATGACCAGTCAATAAAAGCTCTCGCCATGATTTTCTCATTTTTCTCTCCCTTTAAAGATTGTTTATATTTATTAACAATAGGATTGCATAAATTTAGCCAATCATATTTTCTTCTGAAGAAATTCCAGAACGTTTATCATTTATAAATTAGGAAATATCAAATTTAGCATATTCCCTGACTACATTTGTCGATCAAACAACAAACTTCTTTTTTTTCTAAAAAATGTCATTGAACAGATTAAAAACACCAGTAAAAGATGTAAAAAATAATGATCATGATAAAAGAGAAGGGGCAAGTGTTTATTAAAGGATGGTGGTGGTGGTTATTGCCACTTGTCGTTATTCTAGTTAATCATTATATACAATATTCATTTCAATTTAGAGTAAGTAAAACATCACAATGTTCAAATTTCAATCTTTATCTTTAAGACTCATATATTATCATATTTCACAGAACAACTTTTTAAACAACATAAATAAATTATCCAATGTAAATTTAATGCTTGAGAAATGTAGATGAAGAAACTCTTTTTTCAGCAAATCGATATTTAAAAATCATATTAAGCCAGGGTTGGCAAATTGACTGGTCCATTGAGAACTGATGGATTTTGGACTGGTCCATTGCCATTAATAAAATACTAAATATGGTTAAAGTGTTACATTAATGGACCCAATGGACCGCACATTTGCCAACCCTGTATTAAGCATATTATTTCCAGTAATAATCAAATAAATGCTCTTTTTTATCATCATTTTTGTTTTCTTGTTTTCCAAAATTTAACCTTTATATTAATGTATCTTCTTCCTATTACAGGACGAAGTAGAATATAATGATAATAATAATAATAGTGGTATAATGGTGATGATAATGTAAGTTTAAAGAATTTCTCTGTTTAGTAATTTGTTTATTTCATTTAAGAAATCAACCTTTTAACCTTTATATTATTTATCTTTTTCCTATTACGGATTGTTGTTGATAATGATGATGATGTTGAAAATGTAAAGTTTAATGACTTCACTGTTTAGTATTGTTATTTTATTTCAGAAATTTACTTTTATATTATTATATCTTTTTTCTATTACAGGACATTGATGATGATAATAATAATGATGAAATTGTGATTGGTGACTAAATTAATTGGCATCAATTAGTTGTTTATAATCCTTTTTTTTTATTTTTATTAATAGTGTTTTTTATTGTTATTAAAAATTAGGTCCTAATAAAAAAAGAAAACATTTAGAAAGGGTTGAAGAAACTAGATATAATCTTCGCTCCAGAGGTCCCAGGAAAAATTACAAAGATGGACCTTCAAATGTTCACCAAAAAGGAAAAGGCGTCATTATGTAAGTATAAACTGAAGTGTTAATAATAGATATAATATTTTATTTAATTCTTTTTTACTTGTATCTATAGGAATCACCACAACCAGCATATCATGCATCATCACCAGATGCATTACCATCACCAGATGAGGTATATTATATATATTTAATATTAAAATACAATTAATTATATCTTAAGATAAGTACCAATTATATATATATATATATAGGAATGTGCAAGATGCAGCATTCATTGCCCAAATTGAAAAATAAAAAAAAAAAGGTAACTATGGTGTAAATATACAAAATTATTATTATTTAATAACAATCAATTTAGTTTAACAACTTCATGACTAATATGACATCCAATTAAACTAACTAGATTAAATCAAAATCATCATTATTATATCAGCATCCAACAATTAAAGTTTGCTACCAACATCAATTGCTACACTAATGCTTGAACCAAACATTGAACTGTCATCCTCAAATATAATTTCTGTTATATATATATTTTTTATTAAGAACTTTTTTTGTTCAGGAAAATTATTATTATTTTGAATTAAGGTTGAGGGTTGTTTAAATATGCTTATATTTCAAAAAAAAATTATTGTAATAATTTGTAATAATTTGCTTTATTATTGTAATAATAATAAATTGACAAATAAATTGACAAAACTACCAAAGCAAAACACAATCTTACATAATTTTCATGTGGCTGTGATACAATAAGTCATATTAATACATGCTTTAGAAAAAACATGTCTGTTTTTTTTTGGTTTGATTTTAAAATTGAAAAATGAATTCAAATGAAGATTATTCTGATAATGATTCATTAAATACTATAATCTCTGGTGATAATAACAATGATTATGGGAATGAATTGGAAGAAGTAAACAAAAAACTTTGTTTAAAGAGTTATTTTATTAATTAATAATCACAAAATAATAATGATTTTTTTTAAAATCATAGTGCAATAACTTTATAAGAAGTGATGATGAAAATGAATTGGAAGAAGTAAACAAAAACTTTGTTTAAAGAATTATCTTATTAATTAATAATCACATAATAATAATTTTTTTTTAAATAATAAAAATAGTGCAATTCATATAATAATTTTATGATGAGAATGAATTGGAAAAAGTAAAATTGAAAAATTTGTTTAATTATTTTACTAATTAATTATCACAAAATAATAATTATTTCTTTTAAAATAATGCATAGTGCAATTCATATAATAATTCTATGGAAGAGATGATGAGAATGAATCGGAAGAAGTGGTATATAAAAAATTTGGTTTAAAATTATTTTATTAATTTACATTGTTAAATAATCACAAAATAATAAATGATTTTTTTTTATAATAATATCTAGTACAATTCATATTATAATTTTACAAGAACTCTAAGTGTTGAGGCTATTAAATTCTATTTAGAATTTCAAGAGTATCCTTGTTCATTGGAAAAAGGATTTGCCAGTATTTACAATGTGTCTTGCTTTAATCCAGACAAAGCAAAAAAAATTTTTGGCATGAGAAACATACAATATTCAGTTGGTAACCCTGGTGGAATTCGACTGTATTTTGTTCTTTTTTAGGTGTAAGATGCATAGTTGAACAAAGAACATGTCAGGGTGTCAAAGTCTGTAAACTTGCTTCACCTGAAATAATTAATTATCAACATTCTAATGTTAACTTTGAAGATAGTATTTTTGAAAAAACATTTCAAAATAATGAATTAACATCACAGGAAATTACTTTATGGTAAATAATTTTATTGATTTTTAAATCAATTAGACATATATATTAATATTACATATATATTGACTGATATTTTTTCTAGTCAATATGTTGCTGCATTCAAAATTAATTGTAAATTTGTTTTTCATGGTGATAATAATGAAGAAATTCAGTGTGATGGTAAACCTACATTAAAATATCATTTCCAAATGGTATTTAATTATTCTATCTTTAACTATTTTTCATGTAATTTATAAATTAACTGTATAATTAATAATTGAAAACAATATCTGATACTGTTCAATAGGTAGATGGAATTACTATAAAAAAGTATTTTATTGGATGTCAAAAATGGAAAAGAAATGAAGTTCATAGATACATTCCTATCTCAGATTCATGTATAGATATAAATTATTTGAAAATTTTTCTTTTTGTTCTTTAGATGAATATAATCAGATAGAATTTTGATATTTATTTTACAAAATACTATCAAATAAATTATTTTTATTTTTTCTTTATTTACAAAAGAGCTAATAGTATAAAATTAGAATACCAAGTTAACAAGTTAAGGAGAGAGGATAAATGGCATTGTAAACTTCTGCCCTTTTGAAAGGGAAAGAAGTTTGACTGCTACTTACAAAATAGTATTGTGAGATAGTAAAATGAGGACCGATAGAGAGGTCCCACGTTGCCGATCCAACCAAACCAAATTACTACGGAAGTCACGTGAAAATTAAATCATTTCT